CATTTACATTTAGTCATTTAGCAGACGCTTTTATCCAAAGCGACTTACAAATGAGGACAATAAAAGTAGTCAAAACTAACAAAAGGGCAACAATATATAAGTGCAAATGACAAGTCTCTGTTAGCCTAACGCAGTACACATAGCAAGGTATTTGTTTTTGAAGGAGTTATGGTTGATGAGCCTAACTGGATGGTGAAATTTTGATAAAGTGATGGGTTTGTTGAAACCACAAGCAGTTCTGTCTTAGCCGGGTTGAGTTGAAGGTGATGGTCCGTCATCCAACAAGAAATGTCTGTTAGACATGCTGAGATGCGAGCAGCTATCGTCGGATCATCAGGATGGAATGAGAGGTAGAGTTGAGTGTCATCAGCATAGGTGATGTGAAAAGCCATGTTTCTGAATAACAGAACCTATTGATGCCATGTAGACAGAGAAGAGAAGTGGTCCAAGAACTGAGCCCTGAGGCACCCCAGTAGTTAGATGTTGTGACTTGGACACCTCACCTATCCAAAATACCCTGAAGGACCTATCTGAGAGATAAGACTCAAACCACTGGAGTGTGGTTCCTGAGATGCCCTTTGCCAATAGTGTTGACAGGAGGATCTGGTGGTTAACCGTGTCAAAAGCAGCAGACTTTAGACTCTCATTTCATAGAGCAGACATGTCAGGTGATATTATATATGTATTTTAATAAATAAAGGGGTGGTGAGAGGTCCAAAAATGTAGTTTGTTGCCTAAGGGCAACACCATGCCATAGAGCAGTGGTCTCAAACTCAGTTCCTGGAGGGCCACAGCTCTTGCAGAGTTTAGCTCCAACAAGCTTCAAATCACACCTGCTTAGGTGGCAGTATAGGTCGTGCTATAGGTTGCATCATGCTTCGAATTTGAATGACAGACTAACACTCTGACACTGCGCACTTCATGCTGTCTAACCATCTCTCCACTATTAGCTATTTACAGGTGCATCTGATCTCAATAAATTAGAATGTCATGGAAAAGTTCATTTATTTCAGTAATTCAACTCAAATTGTGAAACTTGTGTATTAAATAAATTCAATGCACACAGACTGAAGTAGTTTAAGTCTTTGGTTCTTTTAATTGTGATGATTTTGGCTCACATTTAACAAAAACCCACCAATTCACTATCTGAGTGAATGTGCCAGACCGGCCAGCAGATCTGTCTCCTATTGAAAATGTATGGCTCATCATGAAAAGAAGAATCAGACAACTACAACAGCTGAAGTCTTGTATCAAGCGAGACTGTACAAAAATGTTGCTTGCAGAACTTCCTAAATTCCTAAACAACTAAACATTGTAATTCAAATGACTGTTGATGTACCAAAGTGTTAAACACGCCTCTGTCCAAACTTTTTTGGAGTGTGTTGCAGCCATCAAAATGTGTTCATATTTACAAAATACATTTACGTTGGTCAATGAAAACTATGGACATTTTTTCTTTGTACTTTTGTCAATTAAATAAAAGTTAAAGAGAATGAACAAATCACAGATTCTTAATTTTATTGCATTTTACAAAATGTCCAAACAGATTGTGATTATTTCTGGGAACTTTTTAACTGCAGGCAGACATTATGGTACACAGCAAATCTTTTGAGTGTCCCTTATTTACTTAGAACAGTTTACGGAGAACAGTGCACTATTGCAGACTTATATACAGAGATTTTAATTACATTTTAATGTAGTCTGTCATGAACTAAAGTGGGCCGGTCTAAGGCATGAAACGCTACGTCTAAAAATGAGTCTCACTCCGGCCCTGACACAATTGCACAACTCCAAAAGCCGAACTAATAAAATAAGTAATTAAAGAATAATAAGTTAATCTACACAGAAAGTATCTTACAGGAAGAAACTGTTTTTAAAACATTGTGATGACGGCTGCTTACATTTAATGGCAGGCTAACTTAAGTCACGCAGCAGAAAGTTGTGTAAGAGCAAAGAGTGATAGGGTGGACGAAAAAAAAAATGAATACATCACCACAATAAAATTAGATGTGCACTAAACTGTATATTAACACGATCGCTTATTAAGTATTTACAACATTAGAGACTCTTTTAACGAGAAAGTGGGTGGCTCTTAAAAGAGCCTTTGTGTGTGAGAGCTGGAGCGTAGTTAAAAGAACCTTTGTGTTCGCTGCTCAGATGAGACGAGCTTTACTTGGAGCTGGTGTATTTGGTGACGGCCTTGGTGCCCTCAGACACGGCGTGTTTGGCCAGCTCTCCGGGCAGCAGCAGACGCACGGCGGTCTGGATCTCTCTCGAGGTGATGGTGGAGCGCTTGTTGTAGTGAGCGAGACGAGACGACTCACCGGCGATGCGCTCGAAGATGTCGTTAACGAAAGAGTTCATGATCCCCATCGCCTTGGAGGAGATCCCGGTGTCAGGATGAACCTGCTTCAGCACTTTGTACACATAGATAGCGTAACTCTCCTTCCTGGACTTTCTGCGCTTCTTTCCTCCCTTCGCTGCGGCCTTAGTAACGGTCTTCTTTGAGCCCTTCTTAGGCGCGGACTTTGCTGGTTCAGGCATGATACTGCTGATACGAGATTGGTTTCACAAATCAATACTTTCCTTGCCGCTTTCAGGGGTTTTTATTCACTTCTCTATGCTAATCTTCAAATCTTAAAGGAACATTCTGATTGCGTGATTTCTTTGGCCCAACCCAAAAGACGTATTTTATTGGACAACTCAAGGCTTGTGAAGACCTATCACAAGCTGTTAAATGATAGCCCCGCCTATCGCTCCATGTGTGAACGGCACCCCACTCCACTCGGTTTCCCTTGTTTCATTTCCCGCTTTTTTTTTTTTTTTAGAAAACAATAGCTCTCTCCAAACGTTGTGCATGATAGAGTAACTTTAAAACCTTTATTCACCCATTTTCGGATTTTTGGAGGAGAGCAATAAGGATCAGAAGTGTTTAAAATCCCACCAAAACGTTACTGATGCATGGAACTATAAATACAGGCTAACTACACTATACAACTATATTGGTCCTCTACTTTTGAACTACAGAATTTCTAAATAAAAGCCCTTTTGACGTTTGTGTATTATTTTTTACATTTAGCAGACGCTTTTATCCAAAGCGACTTACAGTTGAGGAATACAAGTGATACATCACAAAGAGGCAAATAAACACAGGAAGTGCTCATGATACAAAGTTGCTGACATTGTTCAGATTAGTACAAGTACTAGACATGAGGAATAAGGAAAGAGAAAGCAAATTTTTTTTTTTTTAATGATGCAGTCAAATGTTGACAAAAGAGATGAGTTTTCAGCTGTCGTTTAAAAAAACCAGTCAGAGATACAGCATTCCGGATGGAGGGAAGATCATTCCACCAGTCAGGAACGGTGAAAGAGAATGTTCCGGAAAGTGATGTTGTGCCTCTCTGTGATGGTACCACGAGGCTACGCTCCCTTCTAGATCTCAGGCTTCTGGAGGGGGTGTAAATTCGTAAGAGTGAGTGGAAGTAGGAGGGTGCTGAGCCTGTGGCTGTTCTGTATGCAAGCATATGAGAGCCTGCTCTCACCGTCGTATCATACTGATCCAAAAGTCTTTACTCTTGTCTTTGTTTTATGGTGGGTAATATAATAATATAGCCTAACTTTGTGCTTCGTACACCGTAATAGCACTTTAAGAAATCCAATCTTGAGAATCAATTACAGATTAAAGACACAACAGAAAATAAATGTGGACAGCTTCACTAAAACGCTATTCAGAAGTAATTTTAGAAAACATGTTTTATGGTCAGTTAGTTACTTGTGCAAGGTTGTTAGATTTGTTTATCACGCAAAACCTTACGGTGACGCGTAGGGCCTCCTTTTCCGAATAATGCTTTTCTGTGGATGAAATAAAGAGCCTTTCACACTCGCTTAAAGGACCTAATAGAAACCAACGCCACGTGACGCGGCGCCCCCATACTACAGCATGACAATGAATTCCCATATTCAAAATTAAAATGTCAAAAAGAACTTCAGATCATATTTCTGTATTTACTGCAGAACTAATAGCAATCTTACTAGCACTTCAGTGGATAGAAGAAATACAACCAACAAAGGCAGTGATATGCACAGATTCTCTTTCAGCACTAAACAGTTTGTCAAGTGGAAATTCATTAGCAAGACAAGACATGATAAATGAAGTAATGCAGAGTCTTTTTAGAATAAGACAGTATGGACTTCTGGTAAATTTTGTGTGGGTACCATCACATATAGGTGTGAAAGGAAATGAGGAGGCTGATCATTTGGCTAAACAGGCTTTAAATCATTCACAAATAAACATTGAAGTGGCATTAAGTAAAACAGAAATAAAAGCGATAATAGCGAAAGAAATACAGGAAATATGGCAGAATGAATGGAAAGAAGGAGCAAAAGGTAGACATTTACATTTAAGTTGGTTCAGAGAGAAGAAGATTTGGAAACAGGAAAGAGGACGTTATAATAGCAAGAATGCGTATTGGTCATTGTTTATTAAATCAGTGCTTACATAGAATAGGAAAACATGAAAATGGAAATTGTGACAAATGTGGGTTAACAGAAACTGTAGAACATGTACTTCTAAAATGTGAGGCTTATGAAAGAGAACGTTTCCAACTAAGTCAAGCTCTAAGGTATCTGGAAATAAATGATTTGTCACTCCAGGTTTTGTTAGGTGATGGATCTAAGCAATCGGGAATATATCGCAAATTAGTTATTTATTTAAAGGAAACAGGATTGATTAATAGGATTTAGGATACCGGTTATTGTGTGAAATAATTTTTTTATTTTTTTTATTTTTATTTTTTTAAAAGGTAGCTCTTGTTTCTAAAGTTCCTATTCATTGTGCGCTTCACACTCCTTTCCAGTAGGTGGCGGAAATGCACCTTTTAAGTTGGTTTGCCAACCGCCATTAAATCCTAAAAGAAGAAATGTGCCATCCTGCAGAGTATACGTAGATGGTAAGAATAAATGGTATTGACACTGTAATATGGAAAATAGCCTTTATATAAAAATAGATTATCAGTGTCTGCGTGTAAAATTATACATTAAAACAGAGCAACAGAAAACACTTTAAATAAATTAATTCATCGCAAGAGTGCAACGATGCCATCTATTTACAAAGAACAGGATTAAAACTGAAACTCTTCAAATGCAATTTATGTGGCTCTTAAAAGAGCCTTTGGGTTCCGTTATTGGTGATGCAGCGGTATATTTAAGCGCGCTCTCCGCGGATGCGGCGGGCCAGCTGGATGTCTTTGGGCATGATGGTGACTCTCTTGGCGTGGATGGCGCACAGGTTGGTGTCCTCAAACAGACCGACCAAATAAGCCTCGCTGGCCTCCTGCAGCGCCATGACAGCGGAGCTCTGGAAGCGCAGATCCGTCTTGAAATCCTGAGCGATTTCTCTCACCAGACGCTGGAAAGGCAGTTTGCGGATCAGCAGCTCGGTGGACTTCTGATAGCGGCGGATCTCTCGGAGAGCCACGGTCCCGGGCCTGTAACGATGGGGCTTCTTGACGCCGCCGGTGGCTGGGGCGCTCTTCCGGGCGGCTTTAGTAGCAAGCTGCTTCCTCGGGGCTTTACCTCCGGTGGATTTACGAGCGGTCTGCTTGGTTCGTGCCATTGCCGCAGTTTAATTGCTTCAAGCTACGAACGTTGACTGTAACGATTTTTGCAACATAGCTGCTTTTAAAGCATCTCAGGATGGTGTCGCGAGGGTGCAGAAGCTTGTGATTGGCTGAAGTATGACGTCTGCGCATGACTGATAGCCAATGACTGCGCGTTTCTAGTTTTCAAACAGACGGAGGAGGGACTGTGTGTTTCCCGCTCAAAATGCTTTGTTCTGTTTACATCTTTCGCGAGTAAAACAAACGCTTCGTTACATACACATTATTGCTTCTCTTTATACTCTTTTTGGTCGATTTATTTGTTCACATAATGTCTAATGATTGTGTCGAGCTCGGATTGAAACAATATACAATATTTTCGTCTGAATAAAAGCATTACAACCACCGGTCTATTATAGAGAATTATTATATATTATTATATAGAGCAGTGATTACAACCAAACAAAAACTACCTACTCTTAAATGAACAGCTTATTAAATGGTCTTGTTGCAAGATCATGCACTGCTAATAATCATGTTGGGTTAGTTTCTTTTTTTCTTTCAATTGCTAACAAGCATTGTTCAACACTGCACACATTACCAACATGAATCTCGGCCAAACAGTTAATCTCACCTCCAAAACTCAGTCAGACCAACAAAACACTTCATATGTGTCTCAAAATAAGATTGTTTCACCCGAACACTGGCAACAATTCTCATGCAGAAAACATACATTTAATTCATAACACACCGATCTAAAAAAACACTAACAACAAGGAGTATTACATAAACAATGAACTCTTATATTTGAAGTTTGAATTATTTGTCACATAAATATTTCATTATAGGATAAGAATAACCTTTTCCTTTTACTGACTGTATTACAGCTCAAAGAATGAATGAGAAAAGCAGCAGCCCCTGAAGCCATCCTAATTTATCAAAATATACCCAAGAAAGAAGACTAAAAACAGGACATCTGGGTCGGCTTTTAGCTGAAATTGTAGTTAGTTGTCTTTGGAATAATTATACAATTTCATAATATTCTGCTAAAATTTCAATTTAATTCCTCCAGAAATGGAGTTTGCCATCATTGATTTGAATGTGTTTTTTTTTATCAGTTTTGAAAGCAGTGTTATGATTTGAAAAGAAATGTGCTTAAAATTGTGATTTTTTTTTTTGGGGTTGTTTTTAGATTTTGGGGTATGAATGACAAGAGTTTGTGGATTTTGAAAAATGTGGCCATTGAACGCATTGCCGGAAAGCAATGAAAAACGATTCAGTTTGTTTAGCATAGACTTCTGTATCGCTGAATGTGTGAATAGTTTTGAAAACGTGGCTTCAGTATTGAAATATGCTTGTTACCAAAAAAATAAATAAATCAATAAAACACTAAGATCGACTTTTTTCTGAACCGTGTATTTTAGAAGTGAAACACTCATTGCTTACACGTTAAACAATGGTTTATAGCTTGGTTTTAATAACCAACGCACAACTTGTATGCTTGTACTGACCAGACTGTATAAAGCAGATAAATGTGCTCTGTGAGAGATAACATGGGTGGCTCTAAAAAGAGCCTTTGGGTTTCAGAAACAGACTTCAAACGGTTTACTTTGCTTTGGCGGGTTTCTCGCTCTTCTTGGGCAGCAGCACGGCCTGGATGTTGGGCAGCACGCCGCCCTGAGCGATGGTCACTCGGCCCAGGAGTTTGTTCAGCTCCTCGTCGTTGCGCACCGCCAGCTGCAGGTGACGGGGAATGATGCGGGTCTTCTTGTTGTCTCTGGCGGCGTTTCCAGCCAGCTCCAGGATCTCCGCGGTAAGATACTCGAGCACAGCCGCCAGATAAACGGGAGCTCCGGCACCGACGCGCTGTGCGTAGTTACCTTTGCGGAGAAGCCTGTGAACACGACCGACGGGGAACTGCAGCCCTGCTCTGGATGAACGACTCTTGGCCTTCGCTCTCGCCTTACCACCGGTTTTGCCTCTACCACTCATGTTTGGTTGTAAAAATGTATACGTTTGCACGGCAGAAACTAACAAATGAATCACGCTCTACTGTATTTAAAAGAGCGTGCGAGTCGCCCATTGGTTTAGAGTCTGTAAGATTTCAAACCAATCACTGAACTTCCCTCCAACACCGACCGCCGAAGCCACGCCTCTACAGCTGGCGGTCGGATTGTGAAATATATATTGAAAACAATTGCCAAGGCAAAAAGCATTTAAAATAATGTTTTTACCCTAATTAAATTAAGATATATGATCTATTAAAGCTGTTGATATAAAAATATGTTAACTGTCTAAATACACAGTCAACATGTAAAACATTGTGAGTCGAGGAAAACTCAGATACACTCTTCTATTTTATATTTTTGTCACCTTTTTTATTTGCACTGTGTACTTCAGATTTTAGGCATACTCAGTCATCTTGCTGTCTACAAAAGTGTTCTGATGACACTGAACCTGTGGGTCTAATCAAACAAAATAATGATTTGGACAATAGAAGAGATGTTGAGCTTTTTGTTACATGGTGTAACAGTCATGGCATCCATTTTGACGGTAAATTAAACTGGAGAAAGAACAGAGGTTGTCTTTAAGAAAACAGTCAAGATGATTATTTCCGATGAAGTTAAATTCCATTGGTATTAGTAGAAAGCTTCTTATGTCTTCTATCAGGGAATTCTGACCAGTTTTCTGTTATATGCAGTGCTCTGCCGGGGAGCTAATATCACTGTGGATGATAAGAAGAGGAATAATAAAATGATCAGAAAGGCCGGTTCAATTATTGCTTTTACTACAGATTCTCTTGAGGTTTTTGTGGAAAAGAGAACAAGGGCAAAATTGAAACTGATTTTGTACTTTGAAGGACATCCACTAGATGGTATTTTTAGTACTTCAGAGTTCATTTAGTGGGAGATTAGTAATGCCTGTGTTCTACAGAACGATTTATAAGGTCTTTTATCTGTACTGCTGTGTGTAATGTGTATATGAAATAATTGTGTTGTTGTATTCATTGTGTTGACTGCAGCTTACAACGGTGGTGAATGAGTTGTTGATGGATTGTGATGTTGTTTCATTTAATGTGTTGTTTTTAAAGTACAATGGTGGTACAAATTAGTTACGTTTCTTAACCTAAACCTTACCTCCACAAAATAAATTGCTCTTTCTTTAGAGTTAGTGGGTGGCTCTGAAAAGAGCCGTTGGGGAATAAAACAGTGTTTTTTTACTTCTTCTTGGGAGCTGCCCTTTTAGGCTTGGCAGCTTTAGGCTTTGCCGCCTTGGGTTTTGCAGTCTTGGCCTTTTTGGGGCTCTTGGCTGCTTTCTTAGGCGCTGCGGGCTTCTTTGCCTTCTTGGGGCTCTTCGTCGCCTTCTTAGCGGCTGCAGCGGGTTTCTTGGCCTTCTTGGGCGATTTCTTAGCGGCGGGCTTCTTTGCCGCTGCGCTCTTGGGCTTCTTGGCAGCAGCGGGTTTCTTGGCCGCGGGCTTCTTCGCTTTAGGAGCCGCTTTCTTCGCCGGCTTCTTCTTGGTCTCGGTTTGCTGCTTGTTGAGCTTGAAGGAGCCGGAGGCGCCGGTTCCTTTGACCTGCACCAGGGTGCCTTTAGTCACCAGGCTCTTGATGGCGAGCTTGATGCGGGAGTTTTTCTTCTCCACGTCGTAGCCGCCGGCAGCGAGAGCTTTCTTCAGGGCTGCGAGAGACACGCCGCTCCTCTCCTTGGACGCAGACACGGCTTTAACGATCAGATCACCGACAGCTGGACCTGCTGCTTTCTTGGCTTTAGCTGCAGACTTCTTCTTGGGCGCTTTGGCCGGCGGGGCGGCAGCAGCTGGGGCGGTTTCTGCCATTACTCTCTCTGTGTGTAGTTTAACAGTAAACCAGACGCTCTCTAGATTAAGCAATGAGCAGCACTCGAACGGCGCTGCGCTCTTATTTAACACATGAGAACCTTATAGACTCAACCTTCCCGCTCGGTGTTTGCGAGTCCCTCACGCTTGTGTTTTCTTCTCCTATATTTAGTGCAAAACTGAAATGGTAAAATAGTTTGACGCTGTAAAAAAACAAGGTCAATACCAAATAGAGGCTCTTGGCGTTTTGATATTAAAATACACAAAGGAGAAATGTTTATTATATCCACCTTCAGATCAAATCTAAGGCGAGCATCAAGCGCTGCAAAAGCCAATAAAACATTGAACGCGTCCTCAGTGTATTCAAAAACATTTTAAACGTGATTTAAAGCACATTTAAGCCTTCTTCCTAAACTGTATAAAACACCTAATGAGAAGTATTAAAGGTGTTGTTAGAAATAAAATAGGCTTAAGATTAAAAACAAACAAAAACTTAAGGCATGTCAAAGGTCACTATCCCATTCTGAGTCTTGCAACCTTCTGTGTTTGCACTATGCTAGAATTAAATATTAAAGTTTTATGATATTCTGTCAAGCTACAGATCAAACTGGTGTATATGTCACAGTTTTGAAGAGCAACAAAGAAAAAACTCTGATATCTGCAATGAATCACGTCTGGAGAAGAGCTCTGGATCACTGTGATTTTTCTAATCTGATCAGACAGAAATGAACTTTAAAATCATGTACAAAACCATCACAATTGAAATATTTAACTCTCAATGAAGTATTTTACCTGTCATGTATATGTGTGGCCTCCAGGTGCCTTTAGTACGCCCAGAAATACACAGGTGTATGATTGAACTGTCAATAACTGGAATAATATGTAGGCATGTAATGAAGATAGTACTTCATAACCTAATTAAAGGACAAAGGTGAGCGCTGCTGCACAGAAACACATAACACTTTATTTCTTGTTACACTTCCATATCCATATAAATACTAATAAATTCACTCCAAACAAGACTGCTCATCATTTAAAGCAAGTATGTAGGGAAACTTTTTCTTATGTTTTGAGCACTTACTATTAAATGCTAATTCGCAATATAGTCATGTATTTACAATATATGTCTGATATATGTATATATACTGTTTGTCTTAATTTGTGTGGGTAGTGGATCAGTGTTGAGTTTACAGGTGCAATTTAAATGAAAATCTTGGCCAGACTGACTCCCATACTAGACTATATACCATGGGTATATACACACTTCTAACAGAGTCCAAAATTGTTCATAAAACACCAAAATTTAAGTTAAGAGTTTGATTTTTTATTATTTGATGAATGAGTATCTTCTGACTGAAAATGGCACAAGAATGTGGGCAAAGACTGTATAACATTGCATTAGAGATATTAATGGAAAATATTAGATTTTTTATTTTTATTTTATTTTTTTATGTTTTTTGAGACAATGTTCCACGTCCAAAATTAATCATATCCAGTGTTGGGGAGTAACTAGTTACATGTAACAGAATTATGTAATTTAATTACAAAATAAATGTAACTGTAATCTGTAACAGTTACTGAGAAAAAAATGTTACTTATGAAAATGTTAACGATTACAAAGGAGGTTACATCTGAATATTTTCACACACATACAGATTTGATTGATAAATTTCCCAAATTGCATTGACTGCTCTGAAACATGAGACACCAATGTTTTAGGAGACAGATAGGACGGTGTCTTATTTAGGACACTGAATAGGACACATGCTTATTTGATAACTGTTTTATTTCCTATTTTTTTTATTTATATGCTTTATTTTTTAAGATTAACGTTTTTTTTTTCAAAGCATTGTTAGATGCCAGTGTTTCCTGTCATAGTTATGCAAAGATTTGATTTCAAAAAGAGTGTCATAGCTATTACACTATATCTTATGATTTTAAATCTGTATTTAACCTCAGAATGATCTCAAAGTAAAAAGAGGTGCACTTTCAAATTAAATGATTATAATTTTAATTCAAGTGATGACGGATTCTGAAAGTCTGACAGTAATCAGTGTTGAGTTCTACTGTAAGCTTAACCTGGCCTGCTTTACATGTTTCAAAATGATTAACAGTTGAAAACATTCATTAGAAATTTAGAATTTAGTAATCAAAAAGTAATCAAATGTAACCAGTTACATTACTTTAATAAAGTAATTGAAATAGTTACACTACTTTTTACATTTTAAATAGGGTAACTTGTAATCTGTAACCTGTTACATTTCCAAAGTAACCTTCCCAACACTGATCATACCCCAGATATTTTCACCAAAGTCTCAGGTAATGCAATCTTCTGCCCCTTTCTGAATGCTCCTGATAAGTCCTTGCATGTTCTAGAGCAGTCGTTCTCAAACTTTTTACACCAAGTACCACCTCAGAAAATATTTGGCTCTACAAGTACTACCATAATGACCAACACTAAAATACAGTAGCATAGTAGGCCTTGCTATTCAGCTACAGCTATGCACAGTAAAAAAATACTATATGAGCAATATCACTCGAGTATGAGAGCGATACCAGCTCTATATCAGCACGGCGGTGATTAGGCCAGAGGCACGAGGCCGCTGATATAGAGCCGGTATCGCTCGAGTACTCGAGTGATATTGCGTTTATACAACAGTTCGACGGAACATGTGAAACCCTCTTTTGTGCGAAACTACTTCCTTCCGCCACGGATTCAAAGCTCAAGCTGACAGTTAAACATACGTCACTTTTAGAATTCGTATCAAGGGCATGTGCTGCTTCAGTTAGGTTATTAGTGAGAAATAATGAGGTTATAAGAGAGAAACAATGCGGCAAGATGTGCATCCAAATGAGAGAGAGAGAGACCGCGAAGCTAGACGTTTCTTCTTATATTAACTA